CATCGGATGAAAACAAAAACAAAAAAAAATAAAGAGAGAGACAGGAACGCATAAAACCTGGGATTGTCGGACAAATCCAGTCATCATACATTTATGCAGCCGCCCCATATTTGTTTTTCTCTCTCGTCGTTTTAATTGTGGATTAATTTAACGGACGGATAAACGCGACGATTAAGTTGTAAATTAAATCCGATGATATACACTTTCTCTGTCTGTCTCATTTTAACATACGTCGAATCAACGAACCTACGCTTATATAAATACTCGCATCTTTTTGGGTCGTAACCGTGAATTACGCGAAGCGACGCAATCTGAACGGTATTTCTGAGTTTTCCACGAAACCTATTATTATTCGGATTAATTTTAGTTGTAAACAACTAAGGAGGTCCTCCTGCTGCAGTCCAGTCGTAGGAGGAAGACGTGGATTATCCGCCACTTTCGCATGACCGTAAATAACTCCATCAGTGTTCTATGACTTTTACTACTTTCCTTGTTCTTGCATCTTTCTTTACCTTCTCCTCCGCCTCCTCTCTTTATGCCGGAACACGCGAACTCTTTAATTTATAGCACATAAAGAGGAATTCAACTTTTAAATCGCGTAAATTTAGCAAAAGAAACGATTCATATCTTGAAAATCCCCATCATCTATAAGAAAAAAAACACTGTATACATATCAGACAGATTGTTTACATTCTCTACACTTATTTTGACATCCACTCCATTCCGAATGTTTATTTTTCCTACCAGTTTTCATTCCAACTTACAAACGTAATTCTATCAAATTTCTACAATATTTGATTTATCTATACAATTTCCAAAAAAAATACAATTAAAAAAAAACTTTACTATAACATTTATTTATCTAAATTCTATTGTAAATTACTAATTAAATATACTAGTTTAGAATTAAACTTGCTGCATTAATTATTCTCACAACGAGTCCAACAAGTGGTTACGTGATAAATGGCAAGATTCTAAAGATATCAAGTTATTTTCTCTATTAACACTAATTATAATTAACTCTAATTATAAATATAAAAAAAAATCGAAAAAATCTACAGTAAATAATTACTGAAATACCAAAAAATATATTTTTTTTTAAATTTACAATAAACAATTTGAAAAACAGAATTCTTAAAACTCAAATGTTATGAAATTTTCTGTAAATAATATCGAAAAATCTTAAATTAGCGAAATTCATTAAAAAAAAAAAAAACATTACGTTGAGCTACGCAATTAACAGTTGGATGATGGAGCAAAGTTCTCCGATTGTTACAATACATTTTTTTTTTCTATGTGACTTCTTCGATTTTCGGTGTGGCGATAACAAAAGGCCCGAGTAATACCCGAGGGCGGTTGCGAATAAATGGGAGTCGATTAAAACAAAACAATTGGAACAAAAGCCTTCTCTTTCTTTCTTTGCTAAAGTCAAACAAAAAAAAACGAACATAATTTATGAACTCCTCAAAGACTTTGGAAACGAAGTTCGTCGCGGATTCAAAACTTCCAATTTCCTATTATTACCTATACATAAACACACAACAACAACAACAAAGAGGCGCGCAAATAAAGTACATCTCCGAACTTCGTCGAAAACTTCCAGATAATTGCCTTCTTTCAATATTATTATTTGTTTATCTCGTCGACAATGGATCTTTCGCAGCCGATTTAGTACTTGAAGCGAACTTTGTCCGGCATTTACGATCCACCAAAACAATAAACCCGAGCATAATACAGCGAAATAAAGAATAATAATCGATCATCCATTATTTAAACTTTGCATTGAATATACTAATAAATTTTCATTCCCCTTTTTTTTTCTTTCTCTAAATATTCGCGAGTTACGGTTAACGATTAATAAATTTGGAAATTAAGTAGGCTCATAAAATAATTTGTTTATTTTCGTCTGCGATTTGTGAACTCGCCCGTTCTTTTTATTTTATAGCAAAAAGCAATATCGTGCACGTTAATATTTGCATTCTTCGGGTTAAAAATACCGGCCAACTGTTTACCTTTCTTTATACGTTATTTATTTCCACGAAGTTTTATTACTTCTGTGAATTACGTTCACATTCTTTTTATATTTTTCAATTTCTTGAAGCTTTGATCTTGAAAACTGCAATACTTATTTATTTTGTTCACTGATTAATTGGTTACTTTTTTTCTGCAATTTCACTTCATAAAAATAACTGTATTTTGCAGACATTATAAAATTACAAATATTATTTTTGACAAAATAAAATTCTATAATGGATATTTGGAAAATTTCAACTGAATACGTATGGAAACATTCTTGTTTATAATATAAACTGAAAGATGTAAAAAAAATATTATTTTTAGAATTTTTGATCTACTTTCTTTTTGCAAATTTTGATAATTTCTACATAAATTTTACACTTTAGTAATTTGCATTTAATTGGTGTAATATTATAAGGTATAATAATATAATTTGAAGATTTGAATTGAAATTTTTGATAAACTATGAATATTTTACTAAATATTTTCAAAATTTATTTTTTAACTGTGAATTTTTTGCACTAATTTTAACAAATCTGAACGTCTTTAGAACTAGTATGTTTTTATTTTTCTAATTGTAATATTTTTCAACTTTATTTTTAAATATTTATTATAAAACAGTTAATAAAAAACAAAATGTATTGTTTAAATTAGATTTGGTGGTACTTAAAAAATATTCATAATTGAAACGATTTGAGAATCTGGTGAAATTTTTTCTAATTGTATATTTTCTTGCAATTAATTTTAATTCATTTGTTATGAAAAAGTTGAATATTTATCAAATTTGGTGATAATTTTTAATGAAATAAAAATCATAATCCTAACGTTTTGAAAAATTCAACAATTTTTCATAACTTTTCTCAAATTATATTTTTTACACCTAATTTTTGCTAAATTTGGGAAGATTTGTTAGGAAACAGTTGATGTCAATGTGGTGTATTATTTTGTAATTAGATTTTGGTAGTCATTTGAATGTATTTTTGGTGTAAATTTGTGGGAAAGTTTGGGTAATGGGAATACTTTCCTATAATAGATATTTGGAAAATTTCAACTGAATACGTATAGAAACATTATAAACTGAAAGATGTAAAAAAAATATTATTTTCAGTATTTTTGATCTACTTTTTTTTTTGCAAATTTTGATCATCTCTACATACATTTTACACTTTAGTAATTTGCATTTAATTGGTGTAATATAATATAATTTGAAGATTTGAATTGAAATGTTTGATAAACTATGAAAATTTTACTAAATACTTTCAAAATTTAATTTCTAACTGTATTTTGTGAAACTTGATGAATTATTTGCACTAATTTTCACAAATCTGAACGTCTTTAGAACTGTATGTTTTTATTTTTCTAATTGTAATATTTTTCAACTTTTCTTTTTAAATATTCATTATAAAACAGTTAATAAAAAACAAAATGTATTGTTTTAATTAAATTTGATTTTCATAATTCGAACGAATTGGAACCTGATGAACTTTTTTCTAATTGTATATTTTTTGCACTTAATTTTAACTAATTTGTTATGAAACAGTTGAATATTTATCAAATTTGGTGGTAATTTTTTAATGAAATAAAAAATTCAACAATTTTTCAAAACTTTTCTCTTATTTTATTTTTGCACTTAATTTTTGCTAAATTTGGATAGATTTGTTAGGAAACAGTTGATGTGTATGTTTTTGTAATTAGATTTTGGTGGTAGTTTGAATGTATTTTTGATGTAAATTTGTGGGAAAGTTAGGGTAATGGGAAGAAGAGGTCTGCGAATGTTTGGGAAGCCGGGGTTTTGTTGTAAGTTGTAAATGTTAACGTAAATTAGGCAGGTATCTTGATGTGGAAGTTTTGATTGGCGTTGCGGAGGTTTGGAGCGTCGAAATGAGCGTCGACGCCGTTTCGAGGAAAGAGCGACGAGGGAAGAAATTATGAAGAAAAATGGGAATAATTTAGGGAGCGCAGTGTAATTCCACAAATGTCGCCCAATTAAGAGTTTGATGATAAATCCGGCAATTAGGGTGGCCGAGCGCATAAGGTGTGCGACCCATACATAACGTTCAATTAAGAGACTGTCGTGGATTGGCTGCGGCTGTATTATTCCGTTAAAGCTAAAAGCTAAAGGAGACCCATTAATTCATAAATTAAGAACAAAACGCATCCGCGGTTCCGCGCAAATTTTATTTTCACTCTTTTTTTTTGTTTGAATTAAGGGTGGTTTTTGGATGATGATGATGATGTTGGTTCGTGCGTCGGATGAAGGGGGTGCAGCAACGGCGGTGGCGGCTCCGGTTCTGCGGCGGAGATATCGTGAAACTTTTAAAACGGTGCATTACGTTTTACATACAAGAGCACTCAAAAACCCCTCGCGCCACCACCTTTTCCAACTTTTCAACTCGTCGACGACACATACAGTTGGCGATGCAAGAGGAAGGAAGTGGCGCCAACCGAACAAAACAACGGGAAAAAAAAAGACAAAAGCGAAACAAAAAAAAGTGGCATCATCCCCTTTCTCAGGGTGCGTGCAGCGGCAGCTTCTTCTTCCCCTAACCCGAAAATCCAGGAGACGAGCGGCCGCAAAATTGGGGAAGGACCTAAGAACTTCTTGCGGCTACCCCAAATCGCCTTGGCTTCTCTCCACCACCCTCCGCTTCTGCACGGCTTTTATTTACCAGTTCAACCCTCCCTTTGTTATCGCTGATAATAGGAAATTCCCGACGTTATGAACTTCTAAACTCGGACAACTTTCAGTTACTCCAACACACCTGCATCAATCCAAAACAAAAATTTGAAGAAAAAAAAAACAATAAAATTTTCATAATTTTGTTGTCAAACTAAATAACTATGCAATTATTAATATTTCTGTTTAAATGAAACTTATTTAATTAATTTTAAATTAAGTTTTATTTAATTATAAAAATATCAATTAATATAATTTTCTTTTGAAACAATTATTGAACAAAATTTCGTTTTCTTTTTTCTTTCAGTGCGGTAAAAAGCTCATGGATGGATATTCTGGAACTTAAAGTTAGTCCTTCCACCAAAGGCACCAAAACAAACCAAAAGTGAGTACATACATTGCATCAAATACTAAAACTATGTTTTCACTTCACGGACATTCTCTATTCACGTTCACGAATCGGATCCGCGTGAAGACGTGCGCATTTTCGATCACCTCTGCAAAACAATTGGCCACGTTCCAGCATCTTCATCTTCAAAGCGCCGCGTAATTCCTGGACACACGTTACAGGCGTATCGAAGAAAAACAAGAGTAGAAAAAAAAGAGGAGATTGGAAAGTTTCTCTTTGATCCTCCCATCCATAATTCTCAAAACGACACATCCCATTAAACAATCAAAACATAACTTCATACATTTTCATCACAATCTTCGACCTGACAAACTTATCCTAAAAATACTTCAATAACGTGATTATTCTTGTTTCTTTACATGTTTATAATTATAATTTTAAGTGCATTGCGAGTAAATTTTATTAACTTATTTTCGCGTTTTTAAGAAATTACAAAATACAAAGTTTATCCATTAAAAATGTATGAAAATACTTGATTTTTACATTCAATTCGGTCAATAATTTTAACTTACAATTTCATTTAAATTTAGAATTTAAATATTATTATAATTGCAACTTTTGTCTTTTATAAAAAAGAATCCATTAATTGAAAAATTTTCCAATTTTTAATATGAATTACGTGAATATTCTTGTTTCTTTACAGGTTTATAATTATAATTTTAAGTGCATTGCGAGTAAATTTTATTAACTTATTTTCGTATTTTTAAGAAATTACAAAATAAAAAGTTTATCCATTAAAAATGTATGAAAATACTTGATTTTTAAATTAAAGTCGGTCAATAATTTTAACTTACAATTTTATTTAAATTTAGAATTTAATTATTATTATAATTGAAACTTTTATAAAAAAGAATCCATTATTTGAAAAATTTTCCAATTTTCAATATGATTTACTTTTAACTTTCAAATTTCCATAAAAAAATCTGATTTGTAAAATTTTCCAATTTTCAATATCATTTACTTTTGACTTTCAAATTTGCATAAAAAATATGATTTTAAATTAGTTAATTAAATTGGAACAAGGCATGATTCATTTTCATTTCTAATATATGTTTTTTTTCGCAAATTTTTAATTTTATGTAATGAATTAAAAAATTTAAATTGGCATATTTTCTCAAACAAATTGTGTTTCCTCTTTACGATTTACTCCTTCATTAAAGAATGTTTTAATATATTGAACAATACACATATTTGATGAAGATGATTTTTGATTCATGGATCGATCAAGTTAATGATCTTGATCATTGAGTACGTTTTAATAGTTTTCGGAATGTTATAGCAATTTGGTGAGTGTCTCGTTAAACGTTGGACGTGGTAAATGGCAGAACGAAGCACCTTTTCGGCCTGTAATTAGTTGGGTGAGGGTGGAAAGTTTTCGGCGGAAAGTTGCAGAGGCGTGAAAAATTGCCGGGCATTAATTGGTCGGACGCGCGATGGGAATTTATGATGGGTCCGAAAAGGTGGGAATTGAAACGTGAATAATTCAGCGGGGAAAAACGTATTTACCAAACTGTACAAAGCATCCACACACACACATTTCCAAACTAAAAACAGAAACTAACAAAAAAAAAAAAATCCAATTACCCAAATGGATTTGCTCGAAACTGGAAAGAATATTATTATCAATTAACCTTTTCGAAAAACTCTTGTATATAATTATGTGTTTTTTTTTTGAGGGGTGTAAATAAGAGTTGTCTTTTTGTTGTGTTGCTCTCTTCTGGCGTGCAAATTTGATTAGGTAAATGCGCAAAGTTTAATTCGGTGGATTTCCATTTCCAGATGGTAATTAGAGATTAAGTTAATCGAGTTTGAATGCATGTTTTGCTTCGCTCTCTCCACCGCATCTGCGACCGTGTCGAACCGTGTGTTCTGGCGTGTTGTCGTGGCTTTTCGCATCCCAGAAAATTGGTTAGGTTTTGCTCAAAAAATACTTTAAAAAAAAAAGGAAGGGTTTTCTCTCTTCTGTTGCTGTTGGGAATTGATTGGTGGATGTTGAGGGGGGATGTGAGAGGGTGCACAGCTGCAGCCACCTTCGATGATTGATTACGATCTAATTACATTATTCATTGGTGATTGACACCGACGGCGGCGGTAGCAGAACACACATGCTCTGCATGCTCCTCCTCGACCACCACTATTAGCCACTTTGCGGTCTGCCCAACTCCCTTATTATTCATTTTGCTCGATGCCACCCCCATCAAAACCATTACATAATTCAACTCATTACAACTAATTTACTGCTCTCACACACATCACTTCTTCAATCCCACGCAAACTAAATGTATTTAGTTGCTTCAAACATTTCCAAAAATTTTGAGCACGGATTACCAAACTTTTAGAAAACAGTTCAATTTACATATTTACAAAAAAAAATCATCATCTAAAGAATATCATTAACTATTTTTAGCAACTTTATGAAAATCCTTGTTCAATTTGTACTGTTAATGAACATTTTCATTGGTTTTGCAAATATTTTATAACAATAATGATAATTATTATATTTTATTTACTTCAACGTAGATTTTTGATTTAGTGGATTAGATTAGTAAATGTGGAGATTATTAAAAAACGCTTAGTGGACAAAAAACTCCGGTATATTCGATTCGATTTCGTCGAAGACACAAACATACGCGTATTGTAAATGAATAATGCATAGATTTTACATGTTCATTTGCATTTTGCTTTGTTCCTTTTATATTCATCGTTTCATGTAGAAAATAAGTTAATATTGTTTTAATAACGAATATCTGCATAATATTGTTACGTTTTGATGTTAAATGCTAAGATTATAGAATGGTTTAGTTTATCTGTTAATTATTTAGCTTTAACAGAAAATTGATATTGAAAATTTCATATTAATTGAGATTTGCATACAATATAAACCCATTTTTATGTCAACTTTTTTATAAAAAGAGCCATTTTTCTATATTGACTGGGAGCCGCATATCATCTTTGCTTATGAGATTAATCCATTAAAGCTTACGCGATTTCTTATCAAAAGAGCCACGGATTGCCGATCCCTAATTTGAAGCATTCACGCAAATTGCAAACGTTATGTATTTCAGCCAATTATTAATATAATTAATAGTGAAAATGTGATATAAAAACATTTTTTTTTATGTAATTCGGTTGAATTTTTTTTTGATTGAATTTCGTGCAAAAATTTCAATTCTCCGCAAAAGGTTTGTTGCAGCAGCACCGGCGCTCTCGAAAACACGCGCCCTCACGTGTTATGTGAGTAATTCGGCCGGATTCAAAACATAACTCGTCCATTTCAGCGAATTACAGAGGGACGTGAATTATTTACGGAGCGTAGAGAGAACTGCAATGCGCCGCATTAGCGCATCCACCCTTTATTTTCCCTGCTGCTTTCTTCATCAATTTCATCAACCGAAATCCCGTCACCTCTAATGTAATATATACATCATTCATTCATATGTTCGTCCGATCATGCACGTATTTTCCTTCTCTTTTCTTTTCTTGCCGTCGCGAAAATATTTATATGAAGACGGAGGTTTCATTTATATATTGCGTTTTTCCTGCGCTTTATGAAATATTAAGCTTCCCGATATGCTAAGCCCTTGCGGATTTCGCATTTTCTTTGCCGGATTTTTGCTTCCCGCAATAAAAACATACATCCCCCATCAATTTCAATCTATCTTCTAATATAATGTGACTTTCCCTCGGAATCGCGCAATTCTATGTTTACATGCAGCTTATACGCATTTTTCGTAAATTTAATAAACTTTTCGATGTCAACAATCATATAACGAAAAATCTAATATGAATCAAGAAGAATAAATGGGTAAAACACATCAAATTAAATATAATTCATTTGGACAAAAATAATATTAATAATTATAAACATTTTCATATTATTTAAGAAGAAAATTGATAAAATTAATATAATTAATATTTTCTAAATTTCAATAACTTTAACTTTAAAAAAAAATATATTTTTATGAACTTTGCAGAAACATAGAAAAACTATAATATTTTCTTTAATCAATACCTGGAAATTAAAAATTTTAAGTTGGTCAATAATTTGTTTTATTAAAATTCAACAAAAAATCTAAGATTAGAAATGATTAGTAAATTTAATAAACTTTTGCAATTTCAAGAAATTTGAAGGGAATTCAACAAAATATTCAAAGCATACAACTAAATATTAACCAATTAATTTGCTAATAACCAATAAGGATTATTTCCTTTAACATCAACTAAAAATACTCAAAACTTGATTAACTTAATATGTAAATTTAATAAACATTTCAATGTTAATACATATTAACGTACGTCGAATTTTGAATAAACTATAGTAAATACAATTGAATTAGACATGTTCTTTTATTAATAAACAAATAATAATGAGCTTTTATGACATTCTAATTTGTATTAATGTATAAAACAAATTGTTTTGTGTTATTTTTCAATGAAATTAAATTAATTAAGTGATTTTCGAGAAAAACAAGTAATAAAGATCATAAAATTATAAAAAAATATATTGTTAAGATTATAAACAATTAAAAAATAAATATTTTTCTCTAATAGATCTTAATTATTAAAATGTACTGTATTTTTGATACTAAGAGTTTTTGACAATTGAAAAATGTTAATCAAAGATATTTCGATATATTCTGAATGCAGTCTTGGTATGAATGAGGACAAATGATTAAATATGAAGGTTGCATAATGTTTTATGGAGGAGGATGGAGAAAATTGCATTGTTGGTTTGTTGGGAAGAGGAGACAAAAGGACCGTCTCCGATCGAAATGAAATACCTGAAATCCATTTTCTCGAACAATTTAGAAATTGGTAGAAGGAAGAGTGGAAGTGCATCTCGCAGTTACTTTAATACGGAATAAAAATGTGTACGTGAATGTTCACAGTGGGTTCGATCTGCCTGAAGGTACAAAAGATGCTGAGGGGAATCACCCCACAGTTTATATGTGTGCTGTCTGTGTATGTATATGATT